CATGTAGAAGGCCCAGTCTCACATGTGCTATTCTGCAGCTTGGCTTTTTTCACCTTACATGTGTGAGAGATCTTTCCATGTCAGGCCATGGATGCCTACTTTTGTTGTCTTACAATAGTGGTTAGTATTTCATGAAACAGTTCTACCATGGTTTAATGCTTCCCCTTTGGACAGAGATGAGTGCTTCTAATTGCTTTGCTTTTACAATCAATACTAAAATGAATGTCTTTTTGTTTTGTTTTGTTTTGTTTCTTTTTGATTTTTGGAGACAGGGTCTCACTATGCAGGCTCCACTAGCCTCAGACTTGCTGTGATCCTCCTGCCTCAGCCTCCTGAGTGCTAAGATTACAGGCATGTGTCTCCACACCTTGCTTGAACGTCCTTTCTTGTACATGCCTCTTTAAGCACAATATTTTTCTATGGTCAACAGCCAAATATGGGCTTGCAAAAGACTTACTTTTTAATTACCTATAAATGACTATTCTGAGATTCTTCATGCTAAATAAATTATACAGAAAATTTAAGAATGCTACCTTTTCCGAGAGTTTGCTCAATTTAGCAGTAATAACATTCTTAAACAACAGTAATTAAGTCAGTGTTCTTTCCTTGGAGGTTTTTCAAGTCTCATCTAAATTCCTCAGAGGAATTTAGAACACTTGAGGGGCCTTAGTAAAATGCAGATTGCTGGGTTCCACCCATTAAATGAGAATCTCTGAAGGCAGGTCCCAAGAATCTACCTTTAAACATTTTTAATATTACTTGGCTGAGCATGAACTTTTGATGTTACCAGCTGGGGAGAATCTCATAATGGTATTTTTTTTTCTTAGTTTTTTGAGACAGGGTCTCACTGTGTAGCCCAGGCTGGCCTTGAACTTGCAGCAATCCTCCTGCCTCAGCCTCTGGAGTGCTGAGACTACAGTCATGGGCCACCACGCCTGGTTTCATAATGGTATGTTAATAAGTTGTTTGTTTTTTGTTTTTTGAGACAGAGTCTTGCCATGTAGTCTATGCTGGCCTCAAACTCACTATGTAGCCCAGGCTGGCCTTGAACTTGAGATGATCCTCCTGCCTCAGCCTCCTAAGTGCTGGGATACTGGCATGCACCACTATACCTGCCCTGTTAATGAGCTTTAAAACCAGGAATATAGAATACCAGAAATGAGTATTAGTCATTTGATGGAATTTAAAATAAAGAATATTGTGCTTCTTGGGGTCTTGTGAAATTATACAATAGGAGGTACAATGTGGGAGTTGAGTTTGGGCTCTCAAGTGAATTACTGTGATCTGATTCCTGTCTTTGCCACTTGCTAAATAGACAATTTCCTTAATCTCCAGGACTGTTTCTTTGCCTATGAATAGTTATAATGAAAGTACTTACATTCTTGGATTACTGTGGAGATTAAATAAAGTAACAAATGGGCAGCTTTAGGATTATTCCTGATTTTTAGCAAACATTCAATAAATGCAATAATTTTGATTCTAGATGTTATAGCTAAATGAATCAATTACGAAACAAGCTAGCATTTGGTGCTGAATATTGGGAAATGTTGAGACATTCATCTTCTGAAGTAGACTGGAATAGATAGGAATTTTTACTAAGGCAGAAGCAAAGTAGGCAGGATTAAATTATTAAAAAGTCAGAATTACTAAGGGACTTTCTTTCTCCTCACCTCTTCTCTCTCGCTCTGTCTCTCTCTCTCTCTCTCTCCCTCCCTCTCCAGCACTTTCTGTGTCTTTCTTTTTATATTACAGTACCTTAAATTGTCATGTTTTAAATATATGTATGTGTATATGCCGTAAATATTCTGTATGTTATATTTTAATAGTATCTATTGAGAATCCTGATGAATATTGTGCCAGTGAGTCCTCTACTTATGGCCTAAGATACAATCTTAGCAGAATGAGATCATACAGCCAAAACAACCTACTAATGAATAATGTCTTCAGAGAGGACACTTGCATTCTAGTTGTTTATATCTGCCTGGGAAGTTAAATCTAGTGGTTTTGTTATGTAGTAATAATAATAGCTAACACATTTTTGAATATCTTGTAGCAGGTATTGTACTGGGTATGTTATTCTAATTATTTTACTTAATCCTCACAGCAAGGAAGGGTTCTTCCTCACTCCTCATAGGAGGAAGATGTCATCATGTTTTTCCTCTTTTTACACTTCAGGAAACTGAGACTTCCATGTGTACAAGTAAATGCCAAGGCTCAGATTCAAAATCACCTCAAGTTTACTTTAAAGGCTAAATTGTTAATCACCATCTTTTATTCACTAAGTCTTTCAGCTGGAAGATTATCCTGAAAATAAGTTCTAAGTGATGGATCTAAACTGTGTAAAGTGGAACCTGTAGTGCATAAGTAAGCCATGTTGAGGTCACAAAAGAGAGGAAGTTATCCTGAAAGTGATGAAAATTGTTTGGAATAGCATGCAATCGGCCTATCAAACAAGAACATGTAAAAACAGTTTAAATCAGCCTGTGATCACATATACTTTCATTAACCCAGGTATCTGATTTAAGTTCAGTAAGTTCATTAACCCAGGTATCTGGTTTAACTTCAGTCTTAACACACTGCAGGAAGCATCACTGGTTTATAAAGACACAATTGGGTGAAGGAGAGGGTTGCATCCAGTCAGCACCTTTTAAGGTAAAGGAGGAGGGAATCCTCCTTGAACTCACTAGCCAGTGGCTCGGAGGCTGCTTCCGAAGGCTGCTTCCACTCTCTGTACTTTCTCCACTTTGGTGGGCTGGTGAATGTGCACTTCATTTTGCTCTCTACTTGTTTTGAATTTCTCTTCCAGCTGCTCCATATACCCAGGTAATGGGCCTTTATTCCAGGTCAGCACTGGAGTGTGTGTGAGTTGCAAAGTGATTAATTTTAACTGTGTGGAGGTTGGAAAAGGCTGTGAAATGTGCTGCCTGGCTTGTTTCCACATGGGTCTCTGCATTACTTACTGGATTTGCCTGCCTAGCCTGGGACCTAGTGACCCAGGAATAATAGATGGTTCCATGTACACAGTGGTTGTGTGCTTGGAAAATATCCAGTTTCATTTTGCTTGGAGGGAAAGCTACCCTTATTAACCCAAGGGAGTTTTGTTTCATATCTCTGTGGGTGAGAAGACACCTTGGTGGGGAGGAGTTCAGCCCCATAAATTTAATTCTCTGTGAAGGTCTGTATTGCTCACATCCCTATTGGGTTTCTGGGAGCTTCTGTGGATACTCTCTTTCCACTGATATTTGTGCCGAGCATTCAGGCTTTCTAGGTGAGACAAACTCTGAGTACAGATAAATGTAGTGAGCCCCAGGAGGTGATGCTAATTTGAATGTTGCCACTGTGATGTATCCCGAAAAGCTTACGATATATTGAAAAAGATCAGGGATCTCAGCTTAGTGCAAGCCTCTATTCAAATTCCAGTACAACAGTTTCCTGCCCCAGTGACCTTGGGAGACCAAGTGAGCCTTTCTGGCTTCAGCTTGCAAAGATCAAATAAAATATAGAAAGGCCAGGTGCCAGTCAGTGTAAAATAAATGTCAAGTACCTTCTAGAAGTAAGCAATATTATTATTTTTTATGTTTTAAAAATTTTATTGATACATTTTAGATATACATAATAATAACATTCATCATAGAGAATTTGTACTTGTACATGATACAGCTTGCTTCTTCTTTTCCCATTCCCCTCCCCTCCCTTCAATCCCTAGCAATATTATTTATAATAAATATCTTGGATATATTTTTCTCATAAAAAGTTTTGCATAGTGACCTTGACCAGATTTTTATTTTTCACTTTGATAATATACATTTGAATATAATGTATGTGTTCTTTATCCTCACAGGCAGAAAGTGTGAGGCAAGTACTAAAGTAGTTATACTAATTGACTATAGTTAATAGGTATTTGTAGGTTCCTTTACAATTCTCAGGCTTTATTGTTAGCTTATTTTTTCAATATGTAATAACATTCAGGATGAATATGCAAAATGTCTCTTATTCCTGTTCCTAAGCCACCCGATTCCCTTCCCCAATAAACATTAACAGTTTCTTGTGTATTCTTAAAATATGCAGTGCATATATATCAAATATGTGTACCCTTTCCCTTCTTTTATACATACTCTACTCTACTCTACTCTACTATACTATACCTTACTTTGCCCATTTAACAGTTCCAGATGAATAAACAATATCCACATTCTTTATAATGGTCACATAGCATTCTAATCTAACTATAATTTACAGTATGTATAATAATATCATTTATTTAGCTTTTATGGGCCGACATTTGAGTAATTTATGATCTTCGTATTTTCCCCAAAATAATAACCTTGTATATAAGTTGGCACACATGTGCCTTTTCAGTTGACTTGTGGTATATTAATTCCCTTTTAAAAGTGCTTCCTGTTATTTTCATTTTGTGCACATAGGATAGAAGCCAATCAATGTTGTACATATTGATTAGTAGTAAAGGATTTTCTACCCAAGGCAAAACCTTGCTGATAGTCTTTATATGAATGTCTTTGTCCACTTTGGCTTGAGAAGGTTTATCTTTTGAGCATATATTTAATGTTGGGAAGGAGTGACTGCAGTGACCCAGAAAAACGTGCTTCTTGTATTCACAAGGGCAGAATGGTCATGCTTTCAGTGTTTGCTGAGGAAATGAGTGCTGGGTAACTACCTGAAATTATGGTGTTGGGTAATCCCTCATTAAGGTAGGAAAAGCTAAAATGCTTTTTAGAATATAAGCATGTAAAATAAAAGACGCCTTTGGAAATTTCTCCAAAGCTGTTTATTTTATACCTTAAAAGACTTGCTTCATGTCATATGAAACATCTAGTTTCTCAGATAGGAGGGTTTCCTAACTGGGAAAAAAACACATTCTTCCCAACGGAGGTGTTGTGGTTTGGGCCTAGATGTCCCCCCAAAGCCTCATGTGGTCATAGGCTTGATCCAGAGTATATGAAGCTGGAATTGATTTATGATGCAATGCTAGGCTCAAGGGCACTAGGATTAAGGGTGTGAGTGCTACCTGCCCTAAATAGTCTGAATAAGATAAAAGGGGCAGGGAGACATTGTTAACTCTCTTGTTGCTGTTGGTGCCTTGTGGGCACCATGTTGTTTCTCCTCTGCAATGCCTGTTTGCCATCCCTGCCTTGGAGCCAGCTGATTATGGACTGAAACCTCTACAAACTGTAAGCCAAATAAACCCCTTCCCTTCCAACTTTTGATGATGGGTATTTTGTCTCAGCAACAAGAGAAAACTAACACAAGAAGCATATTTTGTTCTTGTCAAGTAAATTTATATTCAATGTGTTGGAATCCTCATTAGTAAATAGGGAATGAGGAAACAAGTGTGTGTCATTTTTCTTAACAGACAGAGTATCTTGGAGGTGGAAGGGTCTTTATATGAGTGATCTTCCTGGCTTCAGAGTTATTGTGAAGAGAGTGAAATTTTAATGCAGAATATCTATATTCCTAGTCACTAGCTGGTTCAGCTTAAACAAATAATAGAAACAGCATATTAATGGGGTCAGGGATTTAGCTCAGTGGCACTGCACCTGCCTCACAAGCACAAGGTCCTGAGTTTGATCCCCGGTACCAGAAAAAAAAAAAAAGAAAGAAACAGCATATTATGCATATTAAGCATTGTTGAGATTAAGTGATCTCATTTATATGTGGAATCAATAAATATTGAACTCATAGAAACAGAGTAAGATGGTGGTTGCCAGGGGCTGGGAGTGAGGAGAGAAGGGATTGAGATATTTGGTCCAAGGGTAAAAAATTTCAGTTAGGAGGAGTAAATTCTAGAGATCTACAATACAGCATGGGTAGCTATAGTTAACTATGTATTTAGTATACTTGAAAACTGCTAGATCTTAAGTGTTCTTACCAGACACATGTAGTAAGTGGGATGATGGATATGTTATTTATACATATATTAAAACATAACATATATCGTAAGTGTAGACAGATTTTGTCAATTTATAGCTTAATAAAGGTGCAGAATAAAAACCAATTGATATTTTAACCACTAAGATAAATTGCCTGCCATTCAGTCTAAACTTTACTTGCATACTTATAAAATGGAAGTGACAGTAGTACTTTGCAAAATGAGGTAAAGTATGGAAAGTGCTCTATAAATTCTAAGTAGGTGAAGTATTATGCTATAGATAAAACAACAAGTTAACAGAGTACGGAAGATTTTGCTTCTCTTGCATCCTGTCTTTAAGTTATTCCTTTCTGTTGCCTTGTCCCAAAGCCTTCAGGCATAATGTTTTCATTTGTTTCACCAGCTCTGGGACTGGAACCAGGTGAAACAGCAGAGTGAGCTTTGGATGAGCTGCATGGTTAGTCCTAGTTTTGGATCTTATATCTTTTATTTCATATGTTCTGCAAGTGGATTCCTCTGTACTTGGAGGTTAAAATAATAAGTATTCTTAGCCAAAACAGCTGAGTGTGAGTGGGAAATAAAATTTGGAGTCTGTTCTGATATCAGTGCTTTATGGCACTATCTCTGAAAACAGTGCCAAAGGATCATTTTAGCTTTTACTTCCTGTTGTTTTCCCTTTGTTTCAGGTTGAAGATGAAACCCACTGAGGACATAAAACCTGGGTCTTTAGCACCTTGTATGCCAGCCTGGAAGTGTCCCTGGGAAAGCCTCCATAACTCTGTGGATCCCTTAAAAACTACAAGTGGGCTTGGATTTGGAGATTCCCAATAAGAAAGGTTAAAGGCTGATGGGACTACAAAGGCAGGTACTTGAATTTTGATCAAGATATTCTTAAAGCCTTTGCATTACACATATGTGTGTCTTCCCTATCTAAAACAGATTGGAAGTTTACTGTTGTATTCTATAATGCTAGGCTCACAGTAAGCACTGAGTAAACTGGAATGGAAGTGAGACTGGTTGGTAAAACAATCTTCAAATTGCAGATCTGCTGAGTTAGTTATTATAAATTTAGTACTACAAAGTTTATATTAGGCATTCATGAAGTACCTGTTCACCATGAACAGCAGTTGGCTATGAACAGCAGTATTTTCAAAGCACAGTTACTGCCCACAATCAACCAAATAAATGGGCCATTGTGTGGAGTATTTACATAATACTTAATAAATATAAAGTGGCCTATGTATGGTAGAATTACATTTGCAGAAATGTAACTAGAATGCTACAGGGAGCATCACAGATGGGAAAAGCAGCACACACAGATTTATGTTTGGGCTTTGTGCTGTCAAGGACACAACAACCAGACCTCTTGCAATCTAGAGAGGTTGTCTCTTTCAAATTTTAATTATTCTCCTGTAAGAAGTACTTGGATCCTGGAGTTTTGAGGTAGATATTGTTAAAACTGTGGAAACCTCTGACAATGTGTCTTGCTTTTCTTTGTATGTTCCCCTAGTTAATCTTGTATGCTGCTGATCTGAAAACTTTTTTTTTTTTAATGGTGGATTTGGGGATTGAACCTAGGGTGTTGTGCATGCTGCACAAGCTCTCTACCCCTAAAAACATTTTATATAGTTAAAGTGTTACTTAAGTGCAGGACAAAGAAGGAGTAAAAGTCAGGTGTGGTGGCTCATGCCTGTAATCCCAGAACTTGGGAGGCTGAGGCAGAAAGACTGCCATGAGTTTGAGGCTAGCTTGGGTTACATAGTGAGTTTAAGGTCAGGCTGAACTACCAAAAAAACAAACAAACCAACCCCTTTTGATTATATCTCTCTGAGGTACTTAAAATCACCTCAGTTTCTTTTTGCTCTGAGCCAGTATGTCATGCTTATTCCATTCTAAAGCAAACTATCTTCTGTAGCTCTGCTTTTTATTTCACATAGGAAATTGATGAAATGGAGTATGGAGTTTTGACAAAATTAATTTTTTTTTCTAAGTTCTTTTATTGGTACATTTTAGGTATACAATTCATTTACATTTATCATTGGGTGTTTGTACCTGTACATGATGTATCTTGGTTCTTATTTTTTCCCCATTACCTGTGGGCCCTTCCCCCCCCTCCCTTCCCTGTTTACACACACATCATTTACATTTTTGTTTTTCTTTTCTCATAGTTTTTCCTTTCCCTCCTTTCCTTTCCTCTTCCCTTCCCTTCGACAAAATTAGATTTAAATCACATTACTTGACCTGAGGAAATTGATGTAGCTTCTCTGAGGTTCAATTTTCTCCTTAAGTATGGGGTTGTGAAGCTTGAATGAAACAGTTTCTGTAGTGCTCAGCAGAGAGTGGGAAATTAAAAAGTGACAGCCACTGCTTCCTGTTGCTTTATTTTAGTCATACTAATCTGTTATGGCACTGATGTCCAATAACACTGTTTGTGATGATGGAAATGGTCTACATTTGTACCAATATGGGCATGTATGGCTACTGAGCAATTAAAATGTGACTATCATGACTGAGAAACAATTTTAGTTAAGTGACTATATGTAGTAAGTGAGTACATATTGGATGTAGATCTTGAAGGTCCACTTGAATGAACATGTTTTTCTTCATGTAGCCTTCCTTGACCAGAGAGTCTCTTTTTAACCTTAGCTATTCTCTGCTACCTATTTGGTGTTTACCACTAATTGACCATTTATTTGGTGGTAGGATAATTTTCATGTCTTGTCTTTTTGGCTTGTATCTGAGGTTATAAATTTTTAATTCTTCACACAGCTTAATGAAAAAGAGCATGATAAAAATATAAATGTGATTAAAAAGAAGCGCTAGTGATTTTTTTTTTTTCAGTGCTGGAGATTGAACCCAAGGCTTCACACATGCTAGGCAAGTGTTCTACCGCTGAGCTCTATCCCCTCCCTTAGCTAATGAGTTTTAAGTGATGATTACATACAGTACAAAGTATTTTCTAGATAGTAACTAGGTGGAGAATAGGGACTAGTCTGAAGGTTGCCTGCAATAATCAACTGAATGCCCAGCCTTTATTTCACTTTGGTTTGGATCACACTCAAGAAGAAATTAAAGCCTCTTTCTTATATTGCCATCTTGTGGCAGACTGGGTTCCAACTGATGACAGTTATATTTTCCCGTGTCAAGGGAAGGTTTTTTTTTTTTTTTTTTATTGTGACAGAATTACCAACAGTAAAGGTTAAATACAATCGGTGTTGGCTCAAATAAATTTAAAATATGCTTTTAAAAAACTTTTTTATTTTAGTTTTTTTGAGACAAGGTCTTGCTGTGTATTCAGGTTGGCCTTGAACTCACTATGTAGCCCAGGCTGGCCCCACTGCTATCCTCCTGCCTCAGCATCCTGAGAGCTGGGATTACAAGCAGCAAGCTTATTTATCTGAATTTTATGACTTTTTGGCTTTTTCATTTTTCACTTTCTCTCTTATTGTGAGGCTTATTATCTCTTATTGTGTTGACTTTTTATAGCCCTTCAGAAGCTGGCTAGATTTATTGTATAGTTATATCCAAGCTTTTAATAAAGTGCTACAAATCCTAGATGTAGAATGGGTGATGATTGTATTGAGTTTGATAAAGTCCTGACCTAATTTGATGTTGAGTTTGGGCATTTGATGACATTTGCCAAATATCAATTTCTATTACCAAATGAACATTCAAATAAACAGTGAACAGTTAGTCTAATTTTCCTCATGACTTGGTTTGAAGCATACTGGGTATGAATTGCTATGTGATTATAACCTTTCTGTACTTATTATTTTCCAGAGATGATACTAGGTAGCTGATAGATGCCATAGTTCAACTTGATTCATCTGAATCCAGAGATAAGTATAAGAGAAAAATCGTCATTTTTATAGAAAGATTTTGGATTCAGTGTTATTAGTGGCTGAAATTTGGTAGTTGACAAAGCCCTAGTTCCAACCTTAAGAAGGTTTTCCTGGTTTAGGGACAAGAAGCTGGTGGTGCTATGCGCTTCACCAGTTATTTACAGTTTGCCATGATGAAATGCATGGTAAGTCTATGTTTCAGCTGATTACCCTGATTAAACACATGCTCTGAGCAGACTTAAGCTAGGGGCAAACACCTGTAACTGAATTCTGCTTGCTGGAATTCCTACTGGGATTTAGTCCATGATCCCAGGTATGGGATCTTTGAATTGTGAATTTGATACTATGACCAGTACTTTGTTGTGCTTTGATCTTCTGTGACACTATCTTTGAGATAGAACTAGGATCAGGAATCCTTAATCTAAAAATTCAAACAGTACAGAAAAACCACTGGTAACTGGTACAATCCTATCAACTAGTTAGCTTGGCAATTTTAAACAAATCACTAATATAGTAGTCTATATACTGTATAGGATAAGGGAATCCTACAGTTGGTTAAATCAATTTTATGAACCATATAATGTAATTCTCTACAGCCACTTAAAAGTTAAGGTATAGGTTTATGTTTATTGAAGTGGAAGAGTTTTCATGAAATTAAAAACAGGTTATAAAGCAATGTTTTTGCTTAAACATTTAAAAATGCATGTTTGCTTGAGAAATCATCTGAAAAGATATATGTATGCAAATACTAGGGGTAATTATCTCTAATATTGGGTTCTATGGGTGATCTTATTTTTGTAAACCTGTGTTTTCTAATTTTATTATGTTCATTATTGTATAATTTAAAGTTATTTTAAGCAAATTAGATAGGACAGGCTTCTTTACCTGTGCCTGTAGTTTTAGCTAAGAATGAGGTAGATGTTAGAGTAAAATACAGAAAGTATAAGTAATTCAATGTAACATCAGTACTTGGAATAATTTTTTAGCTTTTGGTTATCTTTTGCAGAAGAGACCAGAAGCAGATCCAAGTTTCATATTTCCAGTCTGGACTTGTTTAGCGCTGCAAATCCAGAATAAACAATAGATTATGACTGTACTTTTCTTTTATGGTAAAGCTTATGTTGAGATTGAGAAGCTCTGATATACACAGGAATGTTTGAAAAGTCTCCTTGTAACTCCATGGGTAGCTGCTAAGGTACTATAAATTTTATTTTTAAAAAACTGAAGATGTTAGGGCCAGGGATTTAGCTCAGTGGTTCCGCTGCCTGCCTCACAAGTGCAAGGTCACAAGTTTGATCCCCGGTACCAAAAAAAAAAAAATGAAGATGTTAGCATAGTATAGTAGTTAGACATGGTTGCTGCAGACAGACTGGGTATAAGCCCATGCTGTATCATTTACATCTTCATATAGATTTTCAGAGATTCTTTGTTTTTATTGTTTCTGTGTCTTTTTGCCAACTGGCCTACCCTTTATTACTTCCACCTCTAGCAATCAAGGCCTAATAAAGTTCTATAATTAGGCACAGCATGGTAATGGGACTGCGTACAATTGTTCCAGTAGCAATTTTCTTTAGTTCATTTATCTAGGTTTTGACATTAATTTCTCATCATTTTGTCTAGTTAAATCAGTTAATCCTTAATGACCTTTTCTGTTCTTATTTAGAGGTAATGATTCCTATCATAGAGATATGATTGAAGTATATGGTGAATATTTAAATTAAAATTTTTTTAATTTAAATAGAGTAAAGAACATATCATCATTAATCCCCCTGAAAATAATGCCCCTTGCTTCCAACACACTTACCCTATTATTCTTGCTACTTTCTGAAGCAGTTGTACAAGTCCTCTTCAGTGAGTGTCTTTAGTTGTGTTGTCATGGCTGACTTAATGTCCTGAATTGATTAAAAACATTTTCCTTTCATGGTCATCTGGGCTTTGGAGAAGAACTAGAAGTCATATGATACCAGATCCAGTGAATAAGGCAGGTGAGGATATAGAGGTTTTTACAAGCTGCCTTTCCATA